GTTCCCCCAAAATGTATACACACTTTAATAGCTGATAATGCAATTTTGAAAATGAAATGTATTTTAATAAACACTGCCTTTATAATTATTCAAAGTATGTGGATACATTTTTTGGGACACACTATATATATCACATGAAATATTAAGATCAATCCTAAGGGGAAAATGGAATGAAAATAGATGTTCAAGAAGAAAAGGATATAACAAAATGTCTGCCTGTAAAATAAGAACTTGTTCAAGTATCTTGTAAATTGATGTTGACTGACATATCAAATCAAAATAATATTTAGATTCCATTGGGTACATTTAAAATATTGATCTAAGAGCTCTATTTTAAAATGTCGATATTTAAAATTCACTGAAAAGTAAAAGCTTTGCAATGATTTAAACCTAGTGACAAAAGAATTTAAATACCAGTTTTGAAAATGTGCAAGAGAGTATATGGTTTTTCAAAATGCTCTTAGGAAGACTCCAAAAAGTATTTTTATTCTTCCAAAGTAGTCATTTCTGAATATATACATATTAAAACAAATATTTTAACATAAATAGCTGTCCTTATCTTTCCCTTTATGTTGTAGCTCAGGCATTACTCTGATTTATTAAAAGTATGTGGTTTTGGTAGGTAATATTATCTATGAGTTTAATTTCAGGGAAATGAAAATGGTCGATTTCAGCAGAGGAGAGCTGATCAACCTATATTTTGACAGCATCAGTGTGACTGCTGAGTGAAAGGTATATTTTCGGGGAGCAGGTGTGGAAGTAGGAGTGTGAGAAGATGGGGGCTTGGAACAGTTGAATGGAGAACACTGAATACTGACTGAAGTGAACACATTCCTGGTCTGTCTGGGGTATCCTTATGTCTCCATGGGCAAGACAGGGCTCTTAGTTCTTTGATCCTAGTTCAGTGATGGCGAACCTATGACACACGTGTCAGAGGTGACACGCGAACTCATTTTTTGGTTGATTTTCCTCTGTTAAATGGCATTTAAATATATAAAATAAATATCAAAAATATAAGCCTTTGTTTTACTCTGGTTGTAAATATCAAAAAATTTCTATATGTGACACGGCACCAGAGTTAAGTTAGGGTTTTTCAAAATGCTGACACGCCGAGCTCAAAAGGTTCGCCATCACTGTCTAGTTAGTGGCAGAGAAGAACTCTGGTCGCTAGACCTCTGCACCATAAATGCTTTCATTTCTAATTTTTCAGCCTTATCTTACTGACTTTGTTACTATCAGCTTTCCATCCCAGTGAATGCTCTAAGAATTTTAGATTGTTTTAAGAGTTGAAATTTTGGTTTCTTTTGCCTGATTGTTGGCTTCTTGTCTGACAAGGAGACGAGGAACAAACAGGCTAGGATGATGTTCAAAATTCTCTCGCTTGGCCCTGGGTAAGTAAAGAAGAGTCTCTACTCTCAAGGACAAGGTACAGATGTGTAAAGAGCAGCCTCATTGGATAATCTAATGTGTTTAACACTAACCCCTCTCCAAAGCAACTAGGAGTCTATTGTCCAGAAATTTTGCTGATTTACCTTTGTTGCTACTATTTTCATATGTCTTTTATTCTTAAGGTATGTGAAGATAGCCTCTTTGCCTTCGGTGTACACTTCTTCTGGGGGATCTTCCATAGGATTGTCCATCAGCGTCAGAACATCGAGATTCACTAGACTATCTAAATTCTCTGGAAGTTGGGTGAGCAAGTTTGTCTCAAGCAGTAATTCTCTCAAAGCTGAAACAATATTTTAAAATGATGAATTTATCTTAAAAACAGGCAAGAATTAAAACGTGAATTCTTTAGTCCAGTCATTTTGAAAGGTTTGTTTTCTACTGTGCCATGTCACAAAAAAAAACATCAGATTTGATGAGGCAACCCGAAGTTCTTTTCTTTAAAACAACTCAGAGTTGTTGGAGTTCGTGTAAATAAGTATTAGAGGCAAGAAACATTAATAAACACTAAAAGATTTTGAGAATGTTTCGTTCCTCCAGAGACCAAGGACAGGATAAAAATGTACAGTCAGGAGCATTACTAAAGAGTACAGCATAGCCTCTAACCTTTGAATGTCTTGTGGTTAGGTAACAGCTTGCACTCATATTTCTTCATCCTCCTTTCACTAAAGAATGGGCATAGTTTGAAAACATATCTATAAACCTGAAGATTCAGTACACTATGGGGAAATTTTTTTTAAAATCTGGCCCCAGTAGGAACTCAGCAAAAAGCTTAAGTAAATGGATATGTTTGAGTGTTTAAATATGAATCATATATGACTTTTCATGTCAATCATGTAGCTTCAAAAGCCCCCCTCTCCCGCCCCTTGCTGATTTCACCACTGTGAGTCAGTATTTTCTTTTTCTTCAAGTGACTTAGTGACCTAATGTGAATTTACTACAGGGCCCCCAACTCCCAATTCCAACATGTAGTAGGGATTCACTACATTTTTGTTGGTGGTGTAATGACTAATTATCTTAGCAGTTGCAACTTGCTTTTTAAATTCCCAATAAATAATTTGCCTTTGTGAGGCTCTGAGCTGTACTAGTCAGAGACCTGACCTTCCCAGGGAGCCCTGCAAGGAGGTAATGAGGTAGGGCCAAGCTCTCTAAACACGGAGATTGGTCTTTAGAAAAGCAAAGAAGCTTTTATCGAGGGAAATGCTGGCCTCAAACTCCACTAGGCTATGGGCTACTAAGATTCCCCACCTTGTGCTTGGCAGATGGCATCTGGAAGCTGCTTAAGCAGATTGTGGCGGCAATCAAGAACTTCCAGGTTAGGCATTGATCCCAAGGCCACTGGCAAGTACTCCAGATGGTTGTTTTCTATATGCAGCTCCTTAAGACTCTGAAATAAGATCATCGTATACCACAATGATCCTTACATTGAAAAATGAATTACAGTAACTAGAATCACCTTTGAGTTCCCATGCTACTTCAGTGAGGGTTATTATGCATTGGCATAAAGGGGGAAAACATTTAAAGGACCATCATCAAGAAGTTATTTTTCAGTCAAACTATTAGAAATGGTTCACATTTATGTAGGGAGATTAGAACATGGGAATCTAGTATTTCTGTTTCATGAAAACTTTATGAAAAAAACTTTATGAAAAAATAATTTGGATCATTTAACTACACACATCATTTGCTCCCTTTTAATAGCTAATGATTGGTGGCAGTTGCCTCAGAAGTATAATTTCCCCAAATATCAATCCAACATTGCCCAAGTGGAAGTAGCCAAGTATACAGATAATAAGTTAACTACGTTCAAATTCGCTGGGCAAAAACTTGTTTGTATCTCACCCTAAGATTTTGAAGAGTGTGACATGACGTACAAGGAGCAAAATGATAGAGTTCTATGAACACAGCATAAAGGAACGGAGAATTCGGAATAGAAGCCCAAGAGTGTGACATGACGTACAAGGAGCAAAATGATAGACAGAGTTCTATGAACACAGCATAAAGGAATGGAGAATTCGGAATAGAAACCATGTGTCATAGGTGAGTATCTGCTATACATACCATTGACCATTGCTCAGTGCCACGACCAGGGATAATGTAGTGGCCCACACCTACTTTATCAGTATTAAGAGTGCAGTACCAGGAGCATGAAAATATAACAGTTCCTTAAAGTATGCATATAGATAAAGACACACTGGTATGGCTACCAGTTAGTGAAGTGAACGTGTTGCTCTGCTAGGATTTATCACGGTGCCCTGGACCCATCCTCAGTGAACCTGGTGCAACAGTGAAATAGACCACGATTTACATTCCACCATGGAGAGTGGGAGGTCTATTGCCCCATCCAAACGGCAGCTCCCAGCATTCACCTGTATGATACTTTAACTTAAAAATAGTACAACTTTCAAGGGTAACTTATGAAAAGTAGAAACGAAATGAAAAGCAGTATGGCTCAATTTTTGCAAATAAAACTTTCCAAAACACATAGTGGAAAGGAGTATGGCATGACATACCCACTAGCAATCACAATAACTTGTTTTAGGTATAAATCTGGGGGTTGATCAGGAAGACAGTGGAAGGCTCAAAGTATAATGATGACTGTTGTTAGGAGCTGGAAATCTGGTATGGTTTCAGGGCATGTTTCCCCAATATCAGCCAACTTAAGGAATCAGTAGGTGTGTACCTCTTTGCCTGCTCATTTGGGGAGGCTTACCTGTAGTTTCCCAATGTCCTCTGGCACAGAGGTGAGCTTGGCTCCCTGATCTTGCCCAATGTATAATTTCTCTAAGGACTCTAAAGAAAAGATTTCTTCTGGAAATGAAATTAACTGATTCCCACTTAGTCCAAGTATCTTCAGTTTTGAAAGTGCACCGAAGTCTGAAGGTAACTAGAAGTATTCCAAAAAGATAAGTTTCAAGTCAATATCTTCTTTTAAATCCTCACATGAGGATATATTTATTGATTTTAGAGAGGGGGGAGGGAGGGAGAGAGGGAGAGAGAGAGAGAGAGAGAGAGAGAGAGAGAGAGAGAGAGAGAGGAGAAACAACATCGGTCAGCTGCCTCCCCCCATACCCCAATCAGGATGGAACCCACAACCTAGGTATGCACCCTGACCAGGAATCAAACCTGCAAACTTAATAGAGATTAAATCCTAGATTCTCTTCCTAAATCTTAAAGTTACTATCAAAACACTTACTTGCTGACAGGCAGTTTTAAAACTCTATGGCAATTAGGAAAACAAAAGACCTACCCAAGGTTTTGAAAATTGAATAAAATATATATTTTTTAAGAAACTCACATCTTGCCTGGCCCATGTACCACAATGGTTGAGCCTTGACCTATGAACCAGGAAGTCTATGATAGATTCCCTGTCAGGGCAGATGCCCTGATTGCAGGCTCAATCTCCAATAGGGGGCATGTAGGAGGCAGCCAATCAATGATTCTCTCTCATCATTGCTGTATCTATGACTCTCTCTCCCTCTCCCTTCCTTTCTGAAATCAATAAAAATATATATATTTTCAAAACCCACACCTTTTTGGCCTAGGATTTTTATAATGTCTGGGGAACACATGAGACTGGTGTCGATGGCCAGGAAAGACAGACCTATTATTTGGTTAGATGTTGAATTCCAAGTATCCCTTTTTCTCCCTCTATAGTTGTCTTTTGCTTTTCAAATAAATCTTTTATTTTATTTTAAATATTAAACAAAAGAAACAAATAAAATTATACCCAAATCTTTTGTTAATAAACACAATAAAATACTGCAATTAAAGTTGAGTTTCTCTACAATACCTTCATTTGCTTGACTACCTCCCTCTTCCCAGAAACAGCCATTGTTAGGAATGTAGTTTTTTCCAGTCCATATTTTTTATACTCTTATGACATATATAAATATCCATAAAATGTGTTGTGTGTATATGTATTTTTGTGTGATTAAAAATTTTTATAAGTGGCATCATTGGGTTCTGCAATTCAGTGCTTTACTTTTTAACAAACATTAACATTTTGGGATTTCTCCACATTGGTACCTATAGCTCCCATTCACTTAAATGATTGCATAGCATTCCACTTTACAAATATACCACAATTTACTTGCTCATTCCTCTATTAACTGACATTTAGATTGTCTTCCATTACTTCATGATTACCAACAATGCTATGATGAACATTTCTGAACAGGCCACCCTGTACACATGGGAAAGTTTCTCTAAAGCTGTTTTTGCAGTTTCCTATGAATGGAACATTAAGATCTAAGGTTGTATGTGTCAGAAAAATCTGTTTAAGGAAATCCTGTTAGGAGGTGGTCTTTATTAAGAATACTAGAGGCCCGGTGCATGAAATTGTGCAAGGGGGGTGTCCCTTAACCTGGCCTACGCCCTCTCACAGTCCAGGAGCCCTTGGGGGATGTCCGCCTGCTGGCTTAGGCCTGGCCTAAGCCGGCAGGCAGACATCCCTCTCGCAATCCGGGACCCCCTCTCTCCTTACTGCCCACCTGCTTGCTGCTCCTTACTGCTCAGCTTGCTGCTCCTTAGCACTGCCACAGAGGTGGGAGAGGCTCCTGCTACCGCCAGTGCATTCACCAGCCCTGAGCCCGGCTTCTGGCTCCCCACAGGGGGAGTGCACTGACCACCAGGGGGCAGCTCCTGCATTGAGCGTCTGCCTCCTGGTGGTCAGTGCACATCAGAGTGACTGGTTGTTCTGCCGTAATGGTTGCTTAGGCTTTTATTATATAGATAGACCCTGGAGTCCAGCAGCTCTGGGTGGGAATCCTGCCTTCATCACTTATAGGCATGTGGCCTTGACAAGTTAGTTACTCGCCCTGCGCCTCATTTTCCTCATATGCCATTGAGGATAATATTACCTACATCAAAAATACTTGTCAGTCCCTAGCCGGTTTGGCTCAGTGGATAGAGCATGGTCCTGTGGACTGAAGGATCCCGGGTTTTATTCTGGTCAAGGGCACATGCCCTGGTTTCGGGCTCTATCCCCAGTTGGGGACATGCAGGAGGCAGCCAATCGATTATTCTCTCTTATCATTGATGTTTCTGTCTCTTTCTCCCTCTCCTTTCCTCTCTGAAATCAATAAAAATGTATTTTAAAAAAGATACTTGAGAGGATTAAATGAGATAATCCTTGTAAAAAACAACAACACTCTGCCCAGTGCCTAACATACATATTGTAAATAAACGGTAGCTATTAATTGTGATTAATGTTTTTCTTGGAGGGG